TTCCTCTTTGGTGTTTCAGCACCTAGCAGGTCCCATGGGTAACTGGATGGCATTGTCCCTGCTGGGTTGCAGAGGCCTCCCTGGTGCTTCAGCACCCCGCAGGTCCTGAGGGTACTTGGATTGCACAGTCCCTGCCGGGTCACACAGGCCACTCTGGTGCTTCAGCACCTCGCAGGTCCCATGGGTACTGGATCTTACAGTCTGCTGGATCACACAAGCCTCTCTGGTGCCCCCGCACCCTGAAGTTCCCAAGGGTGTGCAGCTGGATCGCCCCAGTGTCTTTTTGGCTCTGGCGTACCACTGCTCTTGTGAGCTACTGGACCGAACACAGGCCTCTGTAAAGCCCCAGGTCCTGCTGCTGGTGGCTGGTGAGTACTGCTGCCCCATGGGGCTCACTTCTGCTCAGCTTTTGCTGTAGTTTTTGAGGATGGGTCTCAGCTGCTGGTTTGTGCTTCTGTTGCCTGAGGATGGATGTCTGCTCCCCAGCCTCTCTTGCTGAGGGTTTATCTTGAATCTGTTTGGACTGCTACTATGGGTGATGGTGCTGGGTTCTGGGCTGTCTGTGGCTTCGGCGACCAGCACCTTGGGAGCTCCACTACCGTGCACAGGTCTGTGATGACACAGAGTGTCTACTGGTCTGATGGTGCCAGGTGTGCTGGTCGGGTCAGGTTGCTGGGCCCTAGCCGCTCCCACTGTCTCCTTTCAGGGATGACCCTGAATCTTCTAAAATGATGAGATCTCCCTGTGGCGCAGGGAGAAGCGCCCTGAAGTGCCGCTTACCAAGGTTGCCAGCTGCTCCCATCTGCAGCACAGGTACTTTCTGCTCCGTAGCTCTGCACTGCACAAATTTGGTCATCCGCCTTCACATCCACTCACACTGTCTCACATACTCACCCTCCCTTTGGTCCTTCCCACTACCATCTTCTCTGCATTACTATTTTCCACAATTGTCATTTTAATCCATTGGTATTGCCATCTTTGAAGGGTAACCTGTTCTCAAGTTTTTGTCTGCTTTTGGTCACTTTCATGACTTTAAAAAGGACTCTATCTTTCTATTTAGGTCAGCAGTTCTCAACCTGTGGGGATCGAACAATTCTTTCACAGGGGTCCCCTAAGTCTATTGGAAAACACATATTTCCCATGGTCCTTGGATCCGAGACACTGCTCCTCTATTCATCTCCAGGCGGGCACACCCACATGCAGATACGCCCACATACAGATATGCCCACATATGAATACCCGGAGTGATGACATCATCACACTTCCCCATCACATACAACTCGTACAATGGAGGTGTATGTGACAGGGTTGGCACCATAACGTACTTATGCAGACCAGTCACACATGTGTAGAGAGCAGCTACTGTGTAGAAAGCAGCTACTCTCTTAAAAGCAGCTACTGTGTTGAAAGCAGCAGTATTGGAGGTAAAACGACACTTCATGAATTATAATTAATGGGTGAATGTAAAATTATGTACTGTAAAATTATCAAGTACTGCAAAAAAAATATCTGTAGCATGGGAACTTAATCTGGAAGCTGATCGGTCTTTTTATATTCCCCTGTGGTTGATGTGAATACTGCCCCCTTGTGATAGTAACAGGTATGTAAAAAAGACAACAAAGAGAAAGGTAAATTATAGGAAACTTTAATAAACTGTATTGATTAAACTATGCATGTATCATCTTTTGTATTATTAAAGCTATTGTTATATATTATTTTCATTAGCAAACCATCCCATAACAATGGATCGTGTAGAGAAGAACTTTAAGAAAAGAAAATATAGTGAAGATTTTTTACAGTATGGTTTTACCTCAATAGTTACAGCAGGACCTGAGAAACCGCAATGTGTCATTTGTTGTGAAGTTCTATCAGCCGAATCTATGAAGCCAAACAAACTAAAATGTCATTTTGATAGCAAGCATCCGAGCTTTGCCGGCAATGATACCAACTATTTTAGAAGCAAAGCTGATGGACTCACGAAAGCCAGAATTGACACTGGTGGCAAGTACCACGAACAAAATGTAGCAGCCATTGAAGCTTCATATTTGGTGGCACTCAGAATTGCCAGAGCTATGAAACCTCACACCATTGCTGAGGATTTATTGTTGCAAGTGGTCAAAGACATTGTTTGAGTTATGATCGGAGACAAATTTGTTACAAAATTAAGTGCAATTTCCTTATCAAATGACACTCTCCACAGAAGAATAGATGACATGTCTGCTGATATTCTTGATCAGGTATTCCAGGAAATTAAATCTGCTCCACTTCCAATATTTAGCATCCAGCTTGATGAATCTACAGATGTTGCAAACTGTTCACAGTTACTGGTTTACGTGAGGTATATTAATGATGGCGACTTTAAAGATGAGTTTCATTTTTGCAAACCTCTTGAAATGACAACTACTGCACGTGATGTAATTGACACAGTTGGTTCATTTCTGAAAGAGCATAAGATCTCTTGGGAAAAGGTTTGTGGTGTTAGCACAGATGGTGCTCCAGCTATACTAGGATGTCAATTGGGATTTCAAAATTTGGTACTGAATGAGTCACCAAAAGTCGTTGGAACTCACTGTATGTTTCATTGGCAAACATTAGCAACAAAGACGCTATCATAAGAGTTACAAGAAGTAATGAAAAGTGTCATAAGTTCTGTCAATTTTGTAAAGGTGAGCACTTTCAACAGTTGACTGTTTTCACAACTGTGCAATGAGTTGGATGTGCTGAACAATACTCTGCTATTTCACACTGAAGTGAGATGGTGGTCGACAGGAAAAGTTTTAAAATGTGTTTTTGAGCTTCATGATGAACTCAAAACATTTTTTAATCAGAAAGCAAGACCGCAGTTCGAAGCACTTTTCAGCAACAAAAGTGAACTGCAGAAATAGCTTACTTGGTTGCCATCTTTGCCATCTTGAATGAGTGAAATTTATCATTGCAAGGACCAAATGCAACATGCCTCAATTTGTCTGAAAAGATCCAATCATTCCAAATGAAACTTCAGCTTTGGAAAAAAAATTGGATGAAAATAAAATTTATATGTTGCCTACCTTATCTGCTTTCTTTGAGGAACATGACATTGAACCAGACAAAAGGATTATGATGATAATTTCTGTGAAAGAACACTTGTACATGATTGCAGACGAAATTTCATCATACTTTCTAAATCTACCTGACACCCTATTTGCACTTGCCAGAAGCCCATTCACAGTTAAAGTTGAAGATGTTCCTGAGACAGCACAAGAGGAGTTCATTGAACTTATTAACAGTGATGCAGCGAGAACTGATTTCTCTACAATGCCAGTTACAAAATTCTGGATCAAGTGTTTGCAGTCATATCCTGTTCTGTCTGACACTGTTGCACCTTCTTCTTCCATTTCCAACAACATCTCTTTATGAAACAGGGTTTTCCAGATTGTTGGTTATCAAGTCTAAATACAGAAGGAGACTTGTGGAAGATGATCTTCGTTGTGCTCTTGCAAAGACTGCCCCAAGAATTTCTGATCTCGTGAGAAAGAAGCAATCTCAAGCTTCACACTGACGTTGGCTTTTTACACATAATGTCACAAAATGTAGCAATGTAGTTTACTCTTGTTATATTAAGGCTGTTACCCATGCTATACCATGCTTCAAGACAAAATTTTATTTATTTGTAATTAGAAATAAATATTTCACAATATATAATTACATATTGTTTTTGTGATTAATCACTATGCTTTAACTCTGTTCAATTTGGAACAATGAAAATACATCCTGCCTATCACATATTTACATTACAATTCATAACAGTAGCAAAGTTATAGTTATGAAGTAGCAACGAAAATAATTTTATGGTTGGGGGTCACATAAAAACATAAGGAACTGTATTAAAGTGTCACAGCATTAAGAAGGTTGAAAACCACTGATCTATGTATATATTTATTCAAATGTTATAATAGTTCTAAGAAGGTGTATCCAAATGATTTTTTTGCTGTTACAAAAACCTAGAAAGTTATTATTTTATTTATTTTTTAATTAATCAATTTATTTTTGTTACAGATGTTTCTCCTTTTCCCCCCACTGATTTCCTCCTGTCTCTCCCTGCCCACCCTGTACCCAGCTTTGTTGTCCATGTCCATTGTTCATGCATACATGCATATAAGTTCTGTGGTTTATCTCTCCCCCACCCCCCCTTCTGAACAGTTATTATTTTAATTTGTGTTTATATTAATGGTAATTTTGAAATTTTTATTCATTTAATGAATTTTATGTTTATTTCATTTACCCAGTTTTCTATTTGTGTTAGTTTTTATCTGTACGAGTTCCTTATTTATTGAAGATATTAAGATATAAACTCATCAAATATTCTTTTTTTAATTTTCTTTTTTTTATTGCTTTTTGTAGAGAGAGAAGAAAGGAGAGGGAGAGAGAGATAGAAACATCGATGAGAGAGAACATCGATTGGCCACCTCCTGCATGCCCCCCACTGGGGATTGGGCCCACAACCTAGGCATGTGCCCTGACTGGGAATGGAACTGGCGAACTCTTGGTGCATGGGTTGATGCTCAACTACTGAGCCACACTGGCAGGGCAAATATTCTTATTTTGAGGCTCAAATGAAATGTGTTTTAAAATTTAAGGTTTTAGATTTATGATGATTGTTATCTTGGACTTTCATGTTCATATGAGATCATTCAGTAGAAAAGACAAAGTAAGGAATATATTTTTACTAGCAATGTTGCTGCATAGAGATGGGGGTTCTTTCCTTTTTATAAAGCAAGGCCTTGTGGTTAGCTTTTATAATGTGCAGGGAAGTGTTGGCAGTGACTTATGTACTTACTGATCTCCATGGCATTATTTTTCAATCATAATTATTTGTTGTACTCACCCATAACTAGTGTTAATAGTGTGCTGCATCTCTGCATCAGAGGAAATATTGCAAGGCAATTAATATTTGCTAAGGACACTGTGGATCCTTACTAGAACCATATTCAAACATTGTTCTGTCTCTTTTTTGTCCCCAGGAGTACACTATTGATGTATTTTTTCGACAGACATGGCATGATGAAAGACTGAAATTTGATGGACCCATGAAAATTCTTCCACTGAACAATCTTCTGGCTAGTAAGATCTGGACCCCTGACACCTTCTTTCACAATGGCAAGAAATCCGTGGCCCATAACATGACCACACCCAACAAGTTGCTCAGACTGGTGGACAATGGAACCCTCCTCTACACAATGAGGTCAGAAAGTGGTACCCCTATCTAAAGTATATGTAGGAGTACGACCAGTATTGAAAGCAGCATGTTTTAGTCTATCCACTAAAAATTCTTTCAAGTTTACATATTATAAATGCACATATATAGGTGTGTATTTCCTGACACATTTGAAGGTATATATACTCATAGACATATGTATTATAGATACACATATAAATTGAGAGTTGGTCATATGAACATTCTTATAAACACAGAGATATATGTTCATGATGTATAAATGTATGCATACTCCAAGACACATATGGACTAACACACAGACATATACATATTCAAGGATACTTAAATACACAGATTCATAGCCATATATACACAGGCATGAATACTGTGACAATCAGAATATGCTACATTAAACTGTAGCAACAAACTATTCCTATTTGACATAATGTATTTATATATCTTCAAAGACAAAATTATAGCAACATATATTTAACGCTACATTGTCCGAGAATGCTAAGGAGTTTGATATAAGTGAACTTTCCAAAGAACTTAAGGCTATATCTATTAAGCAATATATAATGAGTCATGAAAAACATAAAATTATGACAGTTTTTGTGCTTTGGGAGATTGTGATGGTTTTTATGCTTCAGGGTAGAAAAGTATGATATACAGGGTTGGGCAAAAGTAGATTTATAGTTGTTTGTATGGCAAATAATACAATAATTAATAAATAATAATAGAAGACTAAACTATTTTGAATACTCACAACTGAAAACCTACTTTGGCCAAACCCTACATTATATTTTTAACTTCTTAAAAGATATAATATATCATACTTTTTTACCCCCAAAGCATAAAAATTATCACGATTTTATGTTTTTCATGACTGACTACTGTTATTAGACTTCTTAAGTATTGAATTTCACTTTCAAAAATAATGACTTTAAAGGATTTCTCATTCAATAAGACTGTATGCCTCAACAGTAAAAACTTACTTGGTTCTAGTTTATGCTTTTTCTAGTTATTCTGCTGTCAGCTGTCACTTTCTGAAACTCCTGCTCACATTAATTAGTATCAGTCTGAGTAAACATTTATTTAATAGAAAAATGTGATTCTTCATTGAAGGTTCTGTGGGTATTTAAATTTTGTATATTTTTTATCTTTAATATGTGAAATGAAACTCAAATAATGCATGCCTGGCAAATATGTGATGAATACATGAAATGTGCTGCCTTCATTACTTTAAACTTGATATTTATTGATATTTTTCCTGAAAGAGTTTTGGAGACAAGAGGAAAGCCCAGGAGTAATAGATAAAAGATGGATACTTAAGAGAAAAGTTAAATTTATAGAGAAAGAGCTGAGCAACTAGAGGACAAATGAGAAGAAAGTAGAGGAGATATTGATGGACAAAAATAAAGTAGATAGAAGTAGGAAGAAGAAGGAAAGAGAGGTGAAGGGGAAATAATCCAGAGAAGATTTCAATAAAACTAACATATATTTATTTTATTGATTTCTTCCCAGATATAATATATGCATGTTTTATGTGTATGGTTATGTGTATGTGTATGAGAGAGAGAAAGAGAGAGATATTATTGGGGAGAAGAGGGTAGAGGGAGGAGAGAATATGAGAGAAGAGAAAGTGTAGAAAAGTTGAGGAGATAAAGTAAAATAAAGATGGTAGATATTATGATGTCCTGAAAGGAGAAATTGGAGAAAAGGTTGCAGTAGATGGGTAGAAAGAAAAGACATAGAGAAGTAGGAAGGCACACTGGAGGGAAAGCAATTGTGGTTGGAACAAAGATGAGTGGTATTTATTCATTCATCAAACACGTTTTGACTTCCTAGTATATACATGGCCCTGATCTAAATTCTGGGTATGCAAACATGAATAAGACACAGTCTCCATCCTTAAAGTAATCACAGTATGATAGTAAAGAAACACTAATAGATAATCAAAAATTATTAACTGACATAGTAAAAATATGGGTAATTATGAGAGGGTGAAAAGGGCCATCTAACTCATTCTTTTGGGTCAGGTTGAGCACAGAGTCCCTGGATCAGGCAATACCCAAGCTCCTGATTATTAGTATTAACATTCAATTTGTGTTATTATTATTTTTTGTTGTTTGCTTCTTTTTAAAAAATTTATCTTTATTGTTGAGAGTATTACAGATGTCCCCCATTTTTCCACATTGTCCCCCTTCACCCAGTCCCCCCACCAGGCCTTCACTCCACTATTTTCTGTGTCCATGGATTATGTATATATGCATATAAATTCCTTGGTTCATCTCTTCCTGCCACCCATTCCCCCTTCCCTCTGAGATTCCTTAGTCTGTTCCATGCTTCCATGTCTCTGGACCTATTTTGTTCATCAATGTACTTTGTTCAGACAAGTAGAATGTAGTCTAGAAAATTATAAGTGGAAAGTGGAGGGAAGCAAGGAAGGATATTCTAGGCAGAGAAAACCAAGTGAGCAGTTGCAGGAAATAGAATGGTATATTATAAGCAAGAGAATGAGGTGGTCAGTTTTATTTCATATGTGGTACTCTACTGACTGTATAAAGAATGCACTTGAAGGGAAAAAAAACTGAAATTAAGGAAACTGGTTAGGAGATAGCTTAAATAATCTAGGTGAGAAGTGGTGAAGTTCTAATTCAGAGCAGTGGATTTAGATAAAGAAGGGGAAATATACTAAGGAAATAGACAGTAATAACAGCCAATGTCACATGATGGTAAGAAGGAGTCAAGGTAGTAGTTGCCCAAGTACCATGGGTAATTTATGGTTTCAAATTGTGGTAGAGTATATGAGATTTAGGAAAAATTTAAATAGGATAATTCTGAGAGGTTAATTTTGGACAAGATAAGCTTGAGAAGTTTTAAAATTATCCAAAGATAGAAGTCTAATAGCAGTTGGATATACAAATCTTAAGACCAGGAGAGAGATATAAGCTAGAGATGTAAAGTTTCATGTTGTCAATATGTTGGAACAACCATATGGATGGGTGTGATCAGTTTAGGACAGTATTTGGAGTGGTAAGAAAATCATGCCAAGGATCCAGTCATGCAGCATCACTATCATTAAGGCAGAGAGGAGAAAGAGAAACCTACGAAGAGGACCAAAAAGGAAAAGTAAGAAAGATGTTCACAGGACCACTGGTGTGCAGTGTTTTGAAAGCTAAGCGTGGTAGTCAATACTGCTACTTTCAATATTTCCAGTTTACCTCCTGGGTACATGGTATTCCTGCAATTTCATAGAGCCTTGAAATTAGGCAAGGACAAATTACTTGCTTTGGCTAACCAAATATGAGTGGAAATAACACGTGTTATTTTTTAGGAAGGATGGAAAACTTTTTTAGAACCTGTACATGCGTTTTTATGTTCTTCTCCCCTGGTGGTCTTGGCTCTTTCATTCTGTGTTTCTTATGGAGGATGAGATGGAAGAGAGGAGAGTACCCTCCCTACAACTTCAGATAGACAAATAGTGTAAATGAGAAATAAGCTTTTGTTGCTTTAGGAAGCTGAGATTTTAGGATTGTTTATTATTGCTTATTAATATAACCCATTTTGACTGATATGTGAAAGGATTAAGGCTTTTAAAAAGATGAGAGTGATTAATAATTACATTGATAATAGTATAATAAGTACAATAGCAAACATCAACATTGTACTTTCAATGTGCCAGGCACTGTTCTAATTATTCTACTTTTATAATATTTTCAACTCTATGAGATAGGTACTATTATTCCCACTTTACAGATGAGAAAACTGAGACAGAGTGGATAAGAATATTATACAAGATCACCTATGTAGCAAATGGTTGAGCCAGCATTCATACTCTGATAGTTGGGTTGAAAATTCATGCTCTCTCACCCTGGCCAGTTTGGCTCAGCGGTTAGAGTGTCGGCCTGCGGTCCGGAGAGATCTGGGTTCGGTTCCCGCTAAGGGCATGTACTTCGGTTGCAGTTTGTCCCCGGCCCTGGTTGGTCGTGCGGGTGGCAGCCACTCGATGTGTCCCTTCACGTCGATGTTTCTCTCTCTCTCTCCCTTCCTCTCTCTCCCTCCCACTCTATCTGTACAAAAAATGGAAAAATATCCTCGGGTGAGGATTAAAAAAAAAGAAAAGAAAATTCATGCTCTCTACTATTATGTATACATTTTTGCAACATTGTTGCCAAACTAAATTGATGATGAAAATAGATCCAGAAGCATGAAAACATGGAACAGACTGATGAATCTCAGAGGGAAGGGGGGAAGTGGGGCAGGAGGAGGTGAACCAAAGAACTTAAATGCATATATGCATTGCCCATGGAAACAGACAATGATGCAATGAAGGCCTGGGATGAGGTGGGAGCCAGGTGGAGGGGGACGATGGGAAAAAAGTAAGGGGGACATCTGCCTGTAATGCTCTCAATAATAAAGAAAAAAATTTTTTTAAATTTATCATTATTTTATTTAACCCAATTTAAAAAAATATTATCTTTAACATATAATCAAAATAAACATTCTTAATGAGATATTTTACATACATTTCTTTGTCCTAAGTTTTTATTTTTTTATATTTATTTATTTTTTATTAATTACTTTTTAAAATTTAATTAATTAATTAATTAATTTTTGTTACACATGTTTCTCCTTCCCCCCCACTGATTCCCCCCTCACCCTCCCTCCCTGCCCTTTCCCCAGTTTGTTGTCCATGTCCGCTGTTCATGCAAACATGCATATAAGTTCTGTGGTTTATCTCTCCCCCACCACCCCCCTCTTTAGGGGACTGTCAGTCTGTACCGCACTTCTGCATGTTTGGGGCTACCCCATTCCTCAGACTGTTATGTTCATTATATTCCACAAATAAGTGAGATCATATGAAACTTGTCTTTATCTGTTTTGCTTGTTTCACTTAGGATGATACTTTCAAGGTCCCTCCATGGAGTCTCAAAGGATAAGAGATCTTTCTTTCTTACAGCTGCGTAGTACTCCATTGTGTATATGTAGCACTGATTTTTTATCCATTTGTCTACTGATGGAAA